GTCGGATGCGCTGGTGGTGCGACCCAAGAATTTCGTACCTAGTAAGTGAGGCAGAGACGGGGAGGGAGGGGGGATTAAGGAAACGAGGGAAGACTGCGGGAGGTTGGAAGGACAGCCCGTGGGATCTTAGTAACAGCGAACGTGTGTGTATGTGTGTGTGCTTCCGTGAAATCCAGGCAGTCCAGCTCATGAAAGCACTCCCCCAGCCCCTCTTCTCCCCCCCTTCCTCCCCCCCTCTCCCTCCCCCCCTAACCTCCAGGCCCCCACACGGGCGATGAGCTGCTGCTCAAGGTGGCCTCCGTCCTAGGGTGGAGGTCTCTGTTGCTCTGCTGGGCCACCCCCGGCGCCCTGCACGGCCGGACACTGCACCTCCACATGGGGGCTATTGACCAGCTGCAGGTGCTGGGGAGGATGGGGGAGGAGGGTGGGGGAGGAGGGTGGGGGGAGGAGGGTACTTCCGTAGTTATTAGTCGTACACAACCAAGTAGCAGCCGTGGTAAGTATCCCGCGCTGGATGGGGTTCCCCGAGGCCAAGTGGTGCGGGTGATGGTTTGGAGGGTTGGGGGTTGGGGGTTGGGAGCTTGACAGCCGGTATCGCGTTCAGTTTGCCGATACGCGTAGCAGATCCGTCCATTCATCCGTCCATTCATCCGTCCGTCCGCCCGTCAGTCTGCCTGTCCGTAGCGCAGTATGTGAGTATGAAGCATTGGGGGGCCAAGGCTGGGAGAGGTGATGCGACATGAAAAGGGGGGCGGGTCTCGCTGAAATCCTGTGGGAAGCAGCACTCCCCCTAGGGGCTTTACTGGGTCCAGGATCCAGATCTCCGGCACGCGCAGCCCTCGTGAACGATTGAGAACACCACCAGAACGCTGAACCACCTGAAGCTACTCGGCTCTCACCCCGGGCCCCCCCTCAGGCCCTCTGTGTCCCTCCTGGTCCCCCTTGCCCTACTTAACCACCTTAACCACCTTGCTGAGCTTACTTTGCCGATCCCGCCTCCCTCCGAACGCAAACAAACATACATACAGGCGGTTGCGAGCATTTGCCGCTTCGCTGACAGGTACGGACACGGGTTACGTGGCTATGTGTGTG